CAATATGCTTTCGTTGCAGTACCTGCTCGGGTGTTTCAGGGAGATCATCCCAACCATCATATGGTGGATAGGACTCCCCCACCCAGGCGTGTCAGGAATGATCTGCATGATCTAGAGAGAGAGGTCCAACGATACAAAAGGGAGCCTCGAGATCAAGTTGCCTATCGAGCAGTTCTGAATGGCATTCATACAGATGCAGTAGCCGCAGCGCTGAACGGTTACAAAGTGAATGCCGTCCTCGGAGCTCACCCCCCACCCATAGCAGCGGAAGAACGTCAGCTGCCTAGACAAACCAGAGTAGTTGTGGCTCAGTTACGTTCTGGATGGTGCAGTCGGCTCAATTCGTATTGGGCACGGATAGATGACCAGGTACAGGATGTCTGCCCAGCATGTGGTACAGGCCCTCATACCACACTGCACTTGTTCAATTGCCCAGCCAAACCTACTCACCTCACTCCGGAAGATCTGTGGTTACAGCCAGTGGAGGTAGCTGCATTTCTGAATCTGGAGACAGAACTGGAGGAAACATAACAGAAAACATACAATTCATATAAACTGCTACAACAACAACAACAAAAAAATTAGTTTTCGATCCACTTCATCCCAAAATTTGTATCTGATCATCACCGAAATCACCATCTCAATATCATCAGGATAGTTCCTGGAGAACTTCCGGATGATTTTGAGGTTCCTCTTGATTAACAGGAACTCCTTCCCCGTAATGAGTCGCTGTCCCGTCCGATGTATCGGTTACAGTAGTTAACTGCCTTGGTGAGAGGAAACATCTTGAGAGGTTTACTTCCCTAGTCAGGGAAGGACCCTCCTTGCTTCGGAGGATGGTTGCTCTGTGTTTATCACCGTATTTTCCATGATGTCATCCTCGCCTCCGATAAAGGCGAGTCATCCCAGAGCTGATTCGGGATGCCCTCCTGACTAAGGCGGAAGGAGCCGGTTTCCTCTAGAAGATTGAGGAGAAGATCCGACTGCCACTCCAAACTTTCGTTAACGTCGTCGAGAGTATGACAAGTGGCTAAAGAGAAGTCCAGAGGGATAGCTTGGGTCGTCAACACTTGAGGGGGTTCATTGATATCTAGCCTTGTAGAGTTCGAAAAATCGCATAAATTGTTTTTGTTTTGGGGGGGAGCTCCATAAAAGTGCTGTATGTGAGGTCGACCATGGCATAGCCTCTTACCATGGTAAGGACTTGGCAACTAAGCCTGAAAAGCTTATTGAGGCGGCCAGGTATCAACAAGGCTCCGTTCTAATACAGTCGGGACCCTGACTGCAAACCGTAGAACGCTGATAGGCACGAGGTCGCATGACACCCCAGTGTTAGGGTGGGACATTTTAAGAATGTAGTGTCCCAGACTACCTTCTTAAAGCCATTCTCGCCTCGTCGGCTCAGGGATCAGGGGGAGACCAGGCACTCGGTCATTTCCTCAGAGACTCTCCACCTGAGCCCGCTGATTGTCCGCGACTGTTTGTTTGTTATTCACAGTTACCCAGCGAATAGTATTGGGCTTCCCACTATCCGCAACCTGTGGACGCGTCCGTTAGCATTCAGCTCTGCTCACCGTAGGCGGATTCAGGAGTAAATATATACGCTATAGAATACCAATTTTGTAATTTTTCACACAAAAGTCAGGGTCGATTTGACCCCCTAAATATTGACCGATCTTTATCAAAACAGGCATGCTTATTCTTTGGCCCAATCTCTTTCTCCGTGAAAAATGCGAGATGGAGCGACCAGAAAAACCGACAAAAATTAAGTATTTGGTCCATTTAATCCTCTAAATATTAACCGATCTTTAGCAAAAACAATAGGGCTCTTCGTTGGGCCGAACTCATCCTACATGCAAAATTTCGTGAAGATTGATCCATAACTGTGGTCTGTATCGTGTTTACAAATTATAATGGACAGACGGAGTTTTGGTGGACGTGTTCAGTCGAAACTGAGCCCATCCTGAACCGAAGTTCAATTTTCCCTCACGCTCCCTTAGATATCCCTCCCCCGGTGGGTCAACTGCTATCCTTGCGAACATCCATCCATCCTCGTTGCAAGGAGCTAAAATGAACACAGTCCAGTTCGATGTATTGAGGCTGGGATTTTGCAGCGCCAACATTTTCAGCAGGAGTTCCTCGTTCACTGAACGTGCAGGAACCCAGGCTGAGAGGACCCGTCTGGTTGGGATCTCAGATAGGGAGACCGCTGCAAGGTTGCCTCCTTCCCAGAGTGCACCAAAGCCGCCAACAGTTTTCACGAGGAAATCCTTAGATTTCTTCTTGTTCAGGCAGTTGATGACTTTGGCGCCCTTCTGCATGAAGGCACTGCCAAACTGACAATCCCCCTGGTCCGACCCACAGACACAGATAGCCGACCGAAGGGCTCCTTCAAAGAGCAACCAATGACTATCATTAATCCTGCCATGAGGATAAGATTTGTCAATGATTGCCACTTGGAAGGTCTTCGTCAGCAGCTACCTTGGTCGGTCTGTCGTATGGCTTTCGCTGTCTCTGACTACGAACCTTGGAGTTTGCCTTTCCAGAGGAGGTTGATGCCTTCTCTGTACTAGGCTTTTTCTCCGCCCTTTGTTGTCCAGCGACAGCCGCATATGTGGTAGATGGATCAGCCAGACGCGAAGTTATCGTCTTCTTAGGTGAAGGTTGCGGACCTTTTGATGAGCGGATGCCGCCCCCACAGATTTGTTCTATGGGGCGGCATTAGCTCTCCCCCGGGAAACGATGGTTCCTTGCCGGACTTTCCCTTCTTTCTACACCGACCACTGGTGGATCCACCCAAAGCTTTAGCACCACCAACCGCTTCACGTTGGTCGCTAGGCGTAAAATTTGGCTTTGATAAAGAGCCCTCCACACGTTCATCTCCCTTATGAGTGACATTTTGTTTCGGGATTTTCTCAGTAGCCTTTTCCTTTGCCTTTTGACTAGGTTTAGGCTTCGAGCTAAGCTTCAGATCAGAAGTCGGCTTAGCACCTTTGTCAGAGACACAGTGTGTTTTGCCAATTCCACTAGATGGGTCAGCCAGACGCGAAGTCATCGTCTTCTTGGTAAAGGTTGCGGGCATTCTGATGAGTGGCATGCGGCGGCATTTGCTCTCCCAGGAAACGATGGTTCCTTGCGGACTTTCCCTTCTTCCAAAGCTTTAGCACCACCAACCGCTTCACGTTTGTCGCTAGGCGTAGAATCGGGCTTTGAAACAGAGCCCTCCAGACGTTGATCCCCCTTATGGGTGACATTTTGTTTCGGGATGCTCTCAGTAGCCTTTTCCTTTGCCTTTTAACTAGGGTTAGGCTTCGAGCTAGGCTTCAGATCAGAAGTCGGCTTGATACCTTTGTCAGAGACAGTGTATTTCGCCGATTCCAAAGCTTTAGCACCAACCACTTCACGTTTGTCGCTAGGCGTAGAATCGGGCTTTGAAACAGAGCCGCCCACACCTTGATCACCCTTATGGGTGACATTTTGTTTCGGTATGCTCTCAGTAGCCTTTTCCTTTGCCTTTTGACTAGGATTAGGCTTCGAGGTACGCTTCAGATCAGAAGTCGGCTTAGCACCTTTGTCAGAGACACAGTGTGTTTCGCCGATTCCACTGCTTCGCTCGATTTAGAGGTCTCCTTGGGAGTTCTTAATCGAGCAGTAGAAATCCTGTCCTTCTGCAGTTCACGATGGAGAGCGTGCAGATAGCTTCTTACGAACTTCCTCTCAGAGACAGTGTGTTTTGCCGATTCCACTACTTCACTGGATTTAGAGGACTCCTTGGAAGTTCTTACTCGAGCAGTAGGATTCGGGAGGGAGATCCTGTCCATCTGGAGTTCACGATGGAGATCGTGCGGATAGATGTTTTCGCACTTCCTCTCGAATTTCATCCCTTGATGAGGTGGTAAACCCCCCCCCCCTTCCCCCCCCCCCCCTTCCGAAATCAAATTCGCGTCTCGTCCCACGAATTTGCGGAGATATGAAACAGCACGTTTGTAGCGCTTTACATCAGCTATTTTTCGGGGCCTTCCCAACATTTGGAGTTCACGATGGAGATCGTGCGGATAGATGCTTTCGAATTTCCTCTCGAATCTCATCTTCCGAAATCAAATTCGCATCTCGCCCCACGAAGGAGATACGAAAAAGCACGTTTGTAGCGCTTCGCATCAGCTAGTTCTCGGACCTTCCAAACATTTGAGCCACTGTCCGTTACTGGGGTCTTGACAAATTCCCCCATCGTCGGACATCGCCTACATCGCCGAATTGCCTCTGAAGTTTATTTTCGGCAACTGCCGACACAGGACCTGCTGTTGATGTCAGAATTGAAGTCGGTCGGTCAACAGGGTCTGTGGTCTTCCTTCGCTTATGCTACAATAATCCCCCCTGTATAGACTTGTCTGGGTTCACCGTGGTGTCCAGCTCATCATCAGCCTAGGTGAGATTTAGTAGCAGTTCCTCCGGAAGCCTAACCCCACATAGCTCTTCCGGTATGAGTCTGTCTAACTGGTCGAAGATTTCCATACTTTGCTCCTCTTAACTATCGCGAGTAGCGTTAAGTGTCCCGCGACCTGCTCTTGATGTTAGAATTGAAGTCGGTGGGTCAACAGGGTCTGCGGTCTTCCTTCGCTTATGCTACAACAATCCCCCTTTATAGACTTTTGGCTGGGATCACCGTGGTGTCCAGCTCATCCTCAGCCTAGGTGAGATTTAGTAGCAGTTCCTCCGGAAGCCTATCCCTGGGATCACCGTGGTGTCCAGCTCATCATCAGCCTAGGTGAGATTTAGTAGCAGTTCCTCCGGAAGCCTATCCCCACATAGCTCTTCCGGTATGAGTCTGTCTAACTGGTCGAAGATTTCCATACTTTGCTCCTCTAAACTATCGCGAATAGCGTTAAGAGTCCCGTGTAGGTTGTCCCTTCCCAAAACTACAGTCCATATATTTAGTTTTTTAATTATTTATTTTTATTAAATTTTTTAATATCTGTTTTTTTTTTATTATTTTCTTCCAGGGGGAAAAAGTCCGTAGCGAAAGTTTGACAAGGAAATCAAAACGTTCGCGAAGGCGTTTAAAAGTCAGACGAAGAAACTGCAAGTTTAAGAAGGAAAATCATAACAACAACAACAACAAGAACAACCATTACGACAACCCATCAGCTGAAGGAAAGCAAGCAGAATATAAACCAAGCAAAACGTATTGGGAAAATACGCCACAAAAATTCAGAAAGAAATTAAAGGATAAAAGGATAAATCCACAACAACAACATTCAAATCCATATCAGCCAGCAGCAGTTTCCATTTAAAAAAAAGAGAAACGAAATTTGAAAATTCAAATAACGCCAACGAAAAATCATCACGTTGAATAATCCTTTATCCTCGAACTCCTGCTCCTCCTCATCAAAATAAAAACAACAACAACCACATTACAAAACATAGAACAGGGATCTTAAATTGTAAAAAAAAACAAGCGAGAAGAAGAAGAAAAGAAAAGTGAATATTTTTTGAAATAATTTTTTCTAAAAAAAAACAAAAACAAAACCCAAAAACAACAAACATTTTGTCTTAAAATTTATTTGTGATAATTTTTAAGCTTAGAAAAAAAACAACAACAACAAAGTTAAACTTATCCTAAAATTACGAACTTAACAACAACAAAAACAAAATATTCAAGTACTTAAAAAAAATAATTTTTTGCTTAAAAAAACTTCATTGTAAAAAAAATTAACGCTTTACTTAACAAACATTTTTTTTCAAAAAAATTGTAAAATTTTGAAAAAAAAAGAAACTGAATTGAAAATTGTAACACATACAGACACAATCTTCCGTTAGAGTTTAGAAACAAAATATTGTAAAGTCAGGCCGTCTTAAAAATTTGTTTTGTAAAACATAACCCCAAAATTTTTTTGTTAAAAAAACTGATATAACCTCAATTTATTTTTCAAAGAACTTAGTTTCAAAAAAAGACAACAACTTTAAGAAAAGTAAAAAAACGCTACAAACCTCTTTTAAAAAAAATATTTCCCTTTAATTTTGTAATTGAAAAAAAAAAAACAACAACAACAGTCTTAAACAAAATTACTTAATTATTGTATAACAAAAACAACAACAACAACTATTTCTACGAATTATATACTTACAAAAACAAAAACATACTTACCTATCTATCTATATACTAATAGAGAAAAAGAGACAGCAATTTAAATTCAAACAAACAAAACAAGTCCAATTTTTTCCGGTATATTTGTATAGAAATTCTATTGAAAAAAAAACCAACAACAACAGAAAAATAAGTTTGTAAAAGTTTACATTTTTTATTATTATTATAAAAAAAAGAAAACACTTATTTGTTTATTATCATTATAATTATATAAGAAGACAAATTGTATTTTGATATTATTAATGAGCAACATGCGTCAAAAGGATTTACGCCCCGCACCAGCTCTTATTGAGTTTAAGGGAATGAAGTTCCTAATCACTGATCGGCCATCAGATGTTACCATACATCATTATATTATGGTGAGTAAAAAAAAAATGAAATATCTATGTGCGTGTCTTTGTAATATAAAATTGTATTTCTCTTCCTAGAGAGTCCTTGTGGGACAAAAAAGAACCATTCAAGTGTGGGAAATTGTGAAATTTCGTCGCCGTGTAATAGGTGTTTCGCTGTTGAAAATAACATTTTCAGTCAAAAAGAGAAGAATTTTTAAATACTCACGAGAATTGAGACTGATGACCAGTCATAGAACAGATCGGATATTTTTATTTCATAAACGAGAATCTAGGCCAAAGGTCCGTGAGCGAATCCAAAAACTTCATTACATGGACTACATTTTCTGAAAACTAACTACATGCCCTTCCGTGTGATAGTCGAAAGGCTCTGGACCCCTCTAAAAAATCCAAGCCATGTCGTCGTGGTCATTGAAAAAATACTTTAAAAAATCCACGTCTTGCTGACGACCTTGAAAAAAATACTTTAAAAAATTCACGTCTTGTTGATGGTCTTGAAAAAAATACTTTAAAAATCCACGTCTTGCCGATGGCCTAGAAAAAAAAATTCTAAAAATCGACGTCTTGTTGATAGCCATGAAAACATATTTTTAAAAAAATCCACCCCTATTATAAGCCTTGAAAAAACATTTTTAAAAATCCACGTCTTGTTGTGCTTCTAAAACATCCACGCCACGCAGGCATTGAAAAAAAAAAAAAATACTTTTAAAAAATGCACGCCTTATAGACCAAAACAAGTCGAGGATTTTATACAAATATTTTTTTTTAACAAAGGCGGGGATTTTATAAAAATATTTTTTCGACGGTTTACCAAAGACGTAGATTTTTATAACCATCACCACACTGTGGTACAGGGTATTATGTCTTTGTGCATATGTTTGTAACAGGCAAAAGGACTTGAGATAGACCCATGGTCCCTTTTGACCCATGGTCCCATTTTCTGAGTCGTTTTATGACTTTCTGAGTCAGATTTCGATATAGCTCCCTTGTGACAGAACTTTCGTTCCATAAGCCGTGTTTAGAAAAGATTTCCAGGCGCGTCGGTCTTCACCGTCAACGTAGATCGGCCCATAGATCTTTCGGAGAAATTTTCTCTCAAACACCCCAAGAGCTGCCTCATCTGCATGCGTAAGTACCCATGCTTCAGATCCGTATAACAGAATGGGTAGTATCAGCGTATTGTAGAGTGTGAGTTTGGTCTGGCGGGAGGTGGGGAGTCTACTGGACGTCTTGCGCGTTGATACCATCAGCTTGGTCTTCTCGCCGTTTACTGCCAGATCCACTTTAATAGACTTCTTTTTAATTTGTTCAAAGGTGACTGTTACCTCTCTCAATGTTCGACCCATTATGTCGATGTCATCGGCGTAGGCGAATAACTGGTGTTGTTTGGTGTACCGAGTGCCATTTCTGTTCACCTTTGCCTTTCGTATGTTCGATCCATTATATGGATGTCATCGGCGTAGGCGAATAACATGTGTTGTTTGGTGTACAGAGTGCCATTTCTGTTCACCTTTGCCTTTCGTATGACAAACTGTCACCTTGTCTGAATCCTCGTTCGGTATTAAATTGCTCCGAGAGGTCGTTTCCGACTTTAACTGCTGACCTTGTGCTACTTTAAGTTATCCTCCATAGCCGTAATAATTTTGAAGGAATGCCAAACGCAGACATGGCTTTATACACCTCTGAACGGATAGGGCTGTCGAATGCGGCTTTATAGTTGACGAATAGGTGGAATGTGTCGATGTGTTTTTCGTGGGGCTTTTTTCCACGATTTGGTGCAGATTGAAAATCTGGTCAATTGTGGAAGCCACATTGGTATGGTCCAATAATGTCATTGACCATTGGCTTCAATCGTTCACACAGCACACTGGATAGAACTTTATATGCGATGGGAAGAAGGCTAATTCCTCTATAGTTGGCACATATCGTCTTGTCTCCTTTGTGTGCACGGGACACAGGATGCTGAAGTTTCAAGCATTGGGCATGTATTCTTCTAGCCAAATTGTACTAATCAGCTGGTGCATCCTCCTGACCAGCATCTGACCACCAGTCTTGAATAGTTCGGCTGGTAACCTATCGGCACCTGCTGCTTTATTGTTCATTAACCGATTAATAGCTTTTCTGACCTCATCTTGGCTAGGTGTTATACATTCTATACCGTCATCTCTTATTGGTTCTGGGGTATCTTCTTCACCGCCCCTATTTGATACCAGAAACTTTTCAAACTGCTCCTTCCAGATCCTCAGCACGCTGTCTGTATCTGTCACCATGTTTCCTTCTTCATCTCTACAGGAGGATGTGTCTGTACCAAAGCCTTCGTTTGGTGTTTTACCCGTTTGTAGAATTTTCGAACTTCATTTTGACTTCTGTACATCTCGATTTGCTAACGCTCACGTTTTTCTTGCTCTTTCTTCTTTTTCTGAAAACACGTTTATTCTCTCTCCTTTTCTCCCGATCATTCTCCATCACTTTACGTATTGTCCTATATGCCTCGTTTTTTACATCAGTAGCATTACGATACTCCTGATCGTACCTTGGGTTTCTTGGTGGCGGTTTTTGGTACCCAAGTGTTGCTTTTGCTGCAGTTTTTAGCGAGTGGACAATGTTTTGCCATTGTGCTTCTATACTATTATCGGGACAAGAAGTGCTTTCGTCAAGCATGTGGGTAAGTTGAGCGGAGTAGGTCTCTGCTACCAGTTGTGTTTGCAGCTTTTCGACATCGAGTTTCCGTGTTGTGTTAGATCGCACCTTTGCTGCTACATTAAGACGGGTGCGTACCTTGGCTGCCACAAGGTAATGGTCCGAATCGATATTCGCTCCCCGGATCGATCGGACGTCTAGAACACTGGATGAATGTTTTCCGTCTATCACAACATGACCGATTTGATTTCTCGTTGTTCGATCTTGAGAAATCCAAGAGGCCTTGTGTATATTGGGATGCTTGAATCTGGTGCTGCTAACTACCATGTTTTTTGCTGCCGCGAAATCAATCAACCTCATGTCATTTTTTTTCTTTTTTTTCGACGTTTCCACGCCTCTCATTCCCACCCCTGCCGACCGAGGGGGCGACCTCCCCTTACGTAGGGATCGCGTACACACCATGATCCGAATCATGATGGGATTTGAGAGTGGAATAAAAAAACCAGCTTTAAAATCTCTTAGCAGAATTTTAATGTCATGGTCAGGGCAACGATCATATGCTGTTTCTAGGCGCTCGTAAAATATGTCTTTGGTCCTTCTGAGTAGTTTTATGACGTTCTGAGTCAGATTTCGGTATAGCTCCCATTTATGTAAATGAAGCACCAGACTCCCAATATTGATTCCCGATTAAGACAAAATTTTGCACAGAGTACTGAACTAGGTCTAGATTGATAGATGCCAAGTTTTTTTTCGTATTGGTTAAGATTTCGATATATGTAGTTCCCATATATAGTTTCGCCCGATTTAATGTAAATGGAGCACCAAACTCCCAATATTGGTCAGATTTTGCACAGAGTACTTGTATGAGCCCAAAGTGGTGAAGGGTATCATATAGTCGACTTTTGATTTTTCCTTACAGGTTTAAAAATATTTTTCGAGGGTCTACCAAAGACGTGGACTATTAAAATATAAAAATTAAAATTAATTTGAAAAAATCCCCCCCAATTAGTCGTTGCAGTCTCAAGTTTGATTATATCCCACATTTATTAAATATCAAGGCTCCACTAGCCCATGGTGGTCCTTGAAAAATAATTTTCAATTTTTTTAAGGACCAGCCCGCCTTTAACCCTCTAAAAACTGCTACAGAAGGTAGTAATTACTCAAATCAAGTTTGTGTGGGTTTTAATTAAAGAGTATTCAGTATTTGAAGATCAATAAAAGTCCTCACGATTTTGAAGTTTCCGATTTTTTTTTTGCCTACCATTATTAATTTTTATTCCATAATTTAATCTCCTATTTTTCTTTTCGGTTTTTTTCCAGGAATTAAAGAAAAACAATGTGAATACTGTGGTTCGCGTCTGCGAGCCCAGCTATAACACTGAAGAATTGGAAGCACAAGGCATCACCGTTAAAGATTTAGCATTCGAAGATGGTACTTTCCCGCCGCAGAATGTTGTTGACGAATGGTTTGAGATTTTAAAACAGAAGTAAGTATACACCAGTCCCTAACTATGTCTTATTTCAAAGTTCCCCGTTTTATTTGTTACGCAAAAAAAAAACAATTGGCTTTGTTTTCACAAAAAATCAAAAGCTTGTAATTTCCTCTTCCTTCCTAAATTTTTTCTTATTGTAAATTTTTTGTAATTTTTTTTTAATGTTGTTAGACAAAAAAAAATCTGTAGATCGTTTAGGGTTTTTTATCTAAATGTTCCAGTTGTTGCTTTTGTAAATAAATTTAATTGTTTTATATATCTGTAAAAAAATCTCCTTCTGAATCGAGGTTAGCCATGAGGGTCTGAGAAGACTACTTCATTAAAAATTTTATCAGGATTTTTGAAGTTTTTTCATCGACTGATTTGAATTGAATATTTGACTCTCTGTCAAATATTTCAAAGTTTATCACAATACACACCTCCCCAGTTAGGTCCTAAACAACCTATCAAATATGTCATCTATGTGATTCGATAGCAGTACCTCTTCATATTTTCTTTTTATTTTAACCTGGCATATCAAACAGATCTCTATTTCGTCAATCGAAATAAATTCCTTAAATTACGAAATTGTTGGTCAGTTGCTATGCGCCTTAAAAATAATCTCTAGAAGTATTTTTATTGTTATATTCAGTTCGAATTTTTAATAATCAGTATTATTTGTGTTTGACGTGCCCTGCCACCACCTTATCATTCATCCACCATCGCCCATACTAAATCAAACAGAAAAAAAAATGCCAATAAAAAAATCAAAGCGCTTCTACTACACCTTGTTCTTCACGGTATTTAGATAACGCTTCGTTGTCTCATCCGACACCTGCTTACTTGCATGCCCGCTCTTCCTATCTTCTGGTTACAATCATCATCTCCACTTGAAAATTTATATTTTTAAACAAAAAAATATTTTCCCCCCGATAAGATAGTAGCAAAAATATTTGAAGTGTCAGATTAGCCAGAGTTTTATAGCTTCGAGAAGTGTGAGGTACTTAAAAAACAACAGAAAAACACCTTTGGCCCTTGAAAAAATATTTTTAAAAAATCCACACCTTTGTTGGAGCCTTGAAAAAAATATTATCTGATCATCACCGAAAAATATAGGCGTTGTCCTTGACCATAACTGGAACCTCATTGAACATTTCAAGCTTTATTTCCGGTGTGAGATTCTTAAAAAACAACAGAAACACCTTTGGCCCTTGAAAAAATATTTTTAAAAAAACCACGCCTTTGATGGGGCCTTAAAAAAATAGAAGTGTAGTCGGCCGGGCCGACCATTCTGTGGTTTTATATTCTTGGGCTTGGACAATATTTGGCGATAGTTGCGCACCCTCTTGACCGACTAGAGGTCAACAAATATTGCTAATATTCAGTACAGCCCGCCCTTCTAATTACTTGTCCAGATTCACTTCATCGTGGGTTCTGTTGTGATGTTCGGCTTTCTATTATGGCCTATAGATCGACTCAAAAAATACACAACAAATTAAGTTTTCGGTCCACTTCATCCCAATATTATTATCTGATGATCACCGAAAAATATAGGCATTGTCCTTGACCATAACTGGAACCTCATGGAAAATTTCAAAGCGATCAGCGCTATATTTCCCGCCTCCAGAGTGCGGTAATGCTGCATCAAACTCGCAATATTGGTCCGATTTTGCACAGAGTAGTGAATTAGGTCTAGATTGATATGTGCCAAGTTTTTTTTGAAATCGGTTCAGATCTAGATATAACTCCTATATATAGTTTCGTCCATAACTGGAACCTCATGGAAAATTTCAAGGCGATCAGCACTATATTTCCGCCCTCCAGAGTGCGATAATGGCTTGCTAAATAATATCTGATATTTAAGTGTAACTCCCACATCCGAGTACATACGACAATTTAAATGGTTTCAATTTAAATGTCAACCGGGTCTATGTCCTTCAGGATTAAATATGTAGGCTATAGAATACAAAGTTCGTCATTTTTCACACAAAAGTCCGGGTCCACTTGATCCGCTAAATATTGACAGATTTTTATCAAAACTTACTTACTTAGCTGGCTTGTGCCTGAACTTATGTTCCATAAGCCGAGCTTAGAAACGATTTCCCGGCGCGTCGGTCTTTTGCGCAGTTTTTCCAATTTGAAAGACCATTTTCGGCGATATTGTCTTCGACTTGATCTTTCCGTACGTATTCTTGGCTTTCCCCTTCTGAGCGAACCATCAGCTGGTTCACTTTTATATGCCTTCTGGGCTGGGGCATCTTCATCCATTCTCACAACATGACCTAGCCAACGTAGTCGCTGCAGCTCAATACGTCTAACAATGTCGATGTCCGAGAATAGCTGATAAAACTCACGGTTCATTCGACGGCGATATTCACCGTCAACGCAAATCGGCCCATAGATCTTTCGGAGAATTTTTCTCTGGTAAACACTCCAAGAGCTGTCTCATCTGCTTGCGTAAGCACCCATGCTTCAGATCTGTATAACAGCACAGGTAGTATCAGCGGATTCATACAAGGTTACAGTTTGTCGTGTCATCTTTTTAACATCCTACTGGGAAAGGTCAGACGAGACGCAAAGGTGAACAGAAATGACACTCTGTACACCAAACAACACATGTTACTCGCCTACACCGATGACGTCGATATAATGGGTCGAACATTGCGAGCGGTAACAGCCACCTTTGAACAAATTGAAAAGGAGTCTGCCAAGGCGAGAAGACCAAGCTGATGGTATCAACGCGCAAGACGTCCAGTCGACTCGGACCAACTGTGGAACTTGAGAACTATAGCTTCGAGGTAGTTAAAGACTTTATATACCTTGGTACCGCCATAAATAAAACGAATGACATCAGTTTTTAAATTCGGAGAAGGATTGTGATGGCCAACCGATGCTACTATGGTCTGGGCAAACAACTCAAAAGAAAGGCCACCTCCCGCCAGACCAAACTCACACTTTACAAGACGCTGATACTACCCGTGCTATTATATGGATCAGAAGCATGGGTACTTGCGCAAGCAGATGAGGCAGCTCTTGGGGTGTTTAAAAGAAAAAATCTCCGAAAGATCTACGGGCCGATCTGCGTCGACGGTGAATATCGGCGTCGGGTGAACCACGATCTCTACAATTTATACGCGGACATCGACATAGTCAGTCGTATTGAGCTGCAGCAGCGACTACGGTGGCTAGGCCATGTTGTGCGGATGAATGAGAATGCCCCAGCTTAAAAGGCATATAAAAGCGAGCCTACTGATGGTTCCCGTAGAAGGGGAAGGCCACGAATTAGATGGAAAGTCGAAGTAGAAAACAACATCTTGGAACGTGGTCTTCCAAATTGGTGAATTTACGCACAAGACCCACGCGCTTGGAAATCTTTTTAAACTCGGCTTATGGAACTACCGTTCTGTAACAAGCCAGCTAAGTAAGTAATTATCAGCGTCTTGTAGAGTGTGAGTGTGGTCTGGCGGGAGGTGGCCTTGCTTTTGAGTTGTTTGCTCAGACCATAGTAGCATCGGTTGGCCATCACTATCCTTCTCCGAATTTCAAAACTGATGTCATTCGTTTTGTTTATGGCAGTACTTTATCAAAACAGGCATGCCTATTCTTTGGCCCCATCCCCTTCTCCATGTAAAAAATCGAGATGTTTGGGTCATAATTGGGTCTGGAGCGTCCAGAAAAACCGACAAAAATAAAGTATTTGTCCATTTCATCCCCTAAATATTAACCGATCTTTACCAAAAACCATAGGGGGGTTCTTCATTGGCCAGAACCCATCCTACATTTGTGAAGATTTGCCCATAACTGTGGCCTGTATCGTGTTTACAAATTATAATGAACGGACAGTCGGACGGAAGGACACACATGTCTAGATCGACTCAGCTAGTCGAGATATGACGATCGGTATACTTAAAAGTGGGTCTAGGATCAATATTTCGCGGCGTTTCAAACTCTTGAGGCTGCACAAAGCTATAATACCCTGACAACATAGTTGTATAGGGTATAAAAATCCACGTCTTGTGGTAGACTTTAAAAAATAATTAAAAAAAAAAAATCCTCTCCTTGTTAAAGGTGTCCATTTTAGTTTTGCGCAATATGGCGTTTTCTACACAGAGTCCCCACTGTCACTGAGACTTGCAAGGAAAATCGAGAAAATCCGTTAGGCGAAAGTTTGTTTTCGGCATATGGTGTATATATTCTGACAGTACATTTTGAGACCTTTCAATTGATGTGGGTCTCCATACTGCATCCATTTTAGTTTTTGTGCAATATGGCGTTTTCTACACAGAGTCCCCACTGTCACTGAGACTTGCAAGGAAAATCGAGAAAATCCGTTAGGCGAAAGTTTGTTTTTCGGCATAAAGTGTATATATTCTGAAAGTACATTTCGAGACCTTTCAATTGATGTGGGTCTCCATACTGCATCCATTTTAGTTTTTGCGCAATATGGCGTTTTCTACACAGAGTCCCCACTGTCACTGAGACTTGCAAGGAAAATCGAGAAAATCCGTTAGGCGAAAGTTTGTTTTTCGGCATAAAGTGTATATATTCTGAAAGTACGTTTCGAGACCTTTCAATTGATGTGGGTCTCCATACTGCATCCATTTTAGTTTTTGTGCAATATGGCGTTTTCTACACAGAGTCCCCACTGTCACTGAGACTTGCAAGGAAAATCGAGAAAGTCCGTTAGGCGAAAGTTTCTTTTTCGGCATTGTCACTGGAAAATCGAGAAAATCCGTTAGGCGAAAGTTTGTTTTTCGGCATAAAGTGTATATATTCTGAAAGTACATTTCGAGACCTTTCAATTGATGTGGGTCTCCATACTGCATCCATTTTAGTTTTTGCGCAATATGTCGTTTTCTACACAGAGTCCCCACTGTCACAGAGACCTGCAAGAGAAATCGGGAAAATCCATTAGGCGAAAGTCCCTTTTTCGGCATAAAGTGTATATATTCTGAAAGTACATTATGAGACCTTTCAATTGATGTGGGTCTCAATACTGCATCCATTTTAGTTTTTGCGCAATATGGCGTTTTCTACACAGAGTCCCCACTGTCACTGAGACTTGCAAGGGAAAATCGAGAAAATCCGTTAGTGTATATCGAAAGTTTGTTTTTCGGCATACTTCGCATTTTAGGTGTATATATTCTGAAAGTACATTCCGAGACCTTTCAATTGACCCACTGTCACTGATACTTTCAAGGGAAATCGGGAAATCCGTTAGGCAAAAACCTCTCTTTCGGTATTTATTCTGAAAGAACTTATCGGGACCTTTCAACTGATGTTGGTCTCCATACTGCATCCATTTTAGTTTTTGCATATGCATATGGCGTTTTCTACACAGGGTCCCCACTGTAACTGAGATTTGCAAGGGAAATCGGGAAAACCGTTAGGCGAAAGTCTCTTTTTCGGCATAAGGTATATATATTCTGAAAGTACTTCTCGAGACCTTATAAAAATATTTTTAAATATCCTGCTTTGCAATTTTCCAATTCATTTTTTTCTCGCTTTTAATTTTCTCGTTACCATTTTCCTAATTTTCCATAATTTAACACCAGACTACTAATCAAATTTACTTATTTTGTTAATACACACACACACACTCCAACTCTACTAAAATATACAGTTACTAAAAACAACTACCAAAACATGTATCTTGTGTGTCCTTTTCTATATCCTTTTTTTGTTCGTTGTTGTTTTATTTGTTATTGTTGCTGATTGCCCAGTTTTTGTTCGTTTGTAATGTTCGTTCCTCTGATTTTGATTGATTGTTTATTGGTTTGAATGATGCTGTTGATTTCTTCTTACCGCTACCATCCTTTACTTCTTCTTCTTCTATTTTTTTCTTCTTCTTCTTTATCTTTTGTAGTTTTAGTAAGAAATCCTCCTCCTCCTCGCGTGCATCCTTTTTGAGAAACAAACGTTTTTCACTGCGACATTCGTTCCGATTCCATAAATCTTCTGCCGATAATACCAATAACAATACAAACGACAACAACACCAACACCATCACAACTACCAACTCCACCACCAACACCACCACAACCAATACCAAGAATTCCTCTTCTAATACTACTACTACTACTACAACAACATCGACAAGTCCAACATCGACTACTACCTACAACACAATTAATAATATGCAATATCAAAATTTAAATAATACCCTAATTCACGATGAAAAAGATTCAGCCAATAATAGTAGGAGGTAAGGTTTTATCGTTTCGTTTAATTTCGTTTTTGCGTTGTGGTCGTTTTTTTTTTTGAAAAAATGTTCTTTTTGTATTTTGATTTTGCCTTTTGAGCTATCTTTTTATTATTTTTTTCTTCATTTCTTGTCATTGTTGTACCATTTTTTTAAATGTCTACTTAAAATATTTTTTAAAAATCCAGGCTTAGATGTAGCCTTTGAAAAAATTATCTTTAAAAATCCAGGCTTAGATGTAGCCCTTGGAAAAATGCTCCTCAAAAACGTCAGCCTAAAAGTAGGCCTTAAACAATATTTTTTAAAAATCCACGAAAAATATTGAAAAATATTTTTTTTTTAAATCCACCCGTCGAAGTAGGCCTTGGAAAATATTTTTTAAACCAGTTAGAGGAGTAGTACAGTCGGACGGGTCCGACCATACGATACCCTACACAACTACTACGGAACTCTAACTTTCTGCGAATGTTTGTTTTTCCGAGCCTGGGCAATATTTCGTGATATTTACACCCTCTTACCCGATTAGAGGTCAACAACACCTCTTCCTTACACTGACATATTTTCCGAATATTACTAATATTCAGTATAGCGCTTATAATAACATTTCCAGTTTCATTTCATTCGCCATGGGTTGTATTGTGATGTTCGGCTTATAATTTTGGCCTATAGATCAAAAAACACAAACAAAACAATTAAGTGTTCGGTCCACTTCATCTCAAAATTACTATCTGATCATCACCGAAAATGATAGGCGTTCTCCTTGACCATGATTGGAACCTCATGGATAAATTTCAAAGCGGTCAGGGCTATATTTCCGCCCTCTGGCGTGGTAATGGGTTACTAAATAATATCTGAATACCTAAGCACCGGTAGATATTTAAGTGAAACTCCCACGTCGGAGTACATACCACCATATAATTGGTATCACTTTAAAGGTC